AGCCCGTTTTCACTCGAAACGAGGGAGGTCTCGTGGACCGCGTCAACCTAAACATCGTATAAAAGCCAAACGGCTGCAGTACAACGGGATTCATCCGTACTCTTCTGGTGAGATCGAATGCACTTTCATACGAAATGAAAGTCCCCCAGCAATTTTATCTCAGGAGATTTATTGAAACTCAGGTTCTCTTCGTATCTACAATAAATCATTAAATAAAACGTAATCGTGTGATTTAATCTGGCCTTACCAAGTATGCAAAGCTTACCTAAGAGAAAGAAGCTCTCAAAAATGTAGAGCCAATTATATACTACTTAGCATGTATATCAGTTGTGGTCTAGTAGTGCTTATACAATCATAATTATTAGACGATTTGTGATGAAGCACGAGGTTTTGCCGTTGCAGTCCATCATAATAGTCAGCAACGTTAGCTAACAAAATATAGTGATTGAAGTATTAAAAATACAGAAATATTAGTTTCAGAGGAAGGTTTAAAGGTCTTACCTCTTTTTTCGTTGTACGTCAGGGGAATCTGAATGTAATGAAGGCCTTAGTGGAGAGTTGGGTCCAATACCAACAGATCTAGCTGCTGAAGGCAATTCGCGATCTGCACCAGAGAAAGGAGCAACTGAAACACTAAGGTGCTGGGCTAGAGGAGAACATGAAGCAGTCTGTTGAGTAGGTGAGATAAGTTGAGGCTGTTCTCTTTCGCGCTTAGAATGTTTGCTACATTTTCCCTTAATAAATTGGAGTAAATGTAATAGAAGTTAGGCGAACTAAAAAGAACTGAGTGCCCTAAAGTTGAAAAATGTTTCAGTGAATAATAGATAATGATGCAATCCAATGATGTACAAACTAAGGCCGAGGTAACAAAGTGCCTTCGGTTAACGCATAGGAAAGTAAAAATATTTTGGGTTTAAAATTTTCCCAACTTTGCTGGCTGAGGCATAAATCCGGAATAAAGTGCAATTAGAATTCAGCTACGATAGCCCACATTAGAAGATATGTATGTATAAAGAAAACGATATTTTATTTTTAAATCATATAAAGAAGTGTTCCAAAAGCCCGCTTAGTTAACTGTGAAACCCCCTAATTGTTATGAAATTCCAGAGCATTTAAGTAATAAATGGTTTGTATATCCAGTCATGTGCAATAGATCGAAAGTAAAACTTACCACCATTCGAACGTCCTTATCGTTGACAAGCTCCTGATGCATAATCAATTCTGCCTGAAAAGCACAAGTCACATGAAAAGCAACATTGCACTTTTTTACACTGCATTGAATTGGTGCACCAGAACGGGATCGACAAATTGAACAAAGTAGGTTGCGACGAGCCTGTGGAATTTCATCTAGCCGAACGACTGGTTCCATCAGTTCAACGTCACCGAATCCAACCTCGGGAACCCAAAGGGCACAGGATACATGGCACCATCTCTGCCCATCCCTGCACACAATTAAGAAAAAATGCATGAGAAACTTGCTGACAAAAGTAACTAATTTGGTACGGATTTAATAGTAAATATGGCTATAAAACACAATACTGACCTTTTCGCCACCACCCATACTGGAAGTAAATTGAATAGGCTACTACTTTTACCATATATAATAAAATGTAACAATTCCAATTCATAAAGATTTTATGTAGTCCGTCAAAAATGAATGGGACGCCTGGTATTTAAGCATAGGGATAGATTATTTTATAAAGAAAGCCAGGCAGAATTGAGTCAATTTATTTAAGTCCAGGTAAAATAGCGAAATTTACTTCGCGACGCGCTTAATGAATATGCATGAGAAATGTGCAAAAAGTTAGCGCAAGAGGCTATGATAACATTTAGTATAATGC